ATTTCCCTCTAAACTACTTTGGGAACAGGTAAACAATTATGTGCCTAGAGAGAAAAAAAAGAAACTTCTCAAAGTAGAAAATTGTGACTGTAATGAGACGTGTTGTTAATAAAAGATAATATTAGTGATAGTGAATCTGTATTGTTAAGCAGTTAAACTCTAGACCCATGTAGGAGAAGTATCTGTTCTCTACTGAAACATTACCTTCAAGAGATTTTACATGCCTTTTTCTGTCTTCTGCAGCTCTTAACTTTTCTTATGCTCTAATGACAGAAAGCTCTTCAGCTTCATTATATTCAGCTGAGTCAATATAAGCACTTCGCTATTGCTATATCCAGATTCAACATCCAGTCCTCAAATATGAGTAACCAGAGTAGTTAAAAGCATCAACAAAACCCCAGGCCACGTTCTAGAGAGCAACTCTCCTTTGATGACACTGAGACAATGTTTGCATCTGTAGAAGCACAGGGCAGGATACCAGAGCAGTCAATGCTGCATACCTGGTTCTGCAGCAGTGTCGATGTGGGGGAAAAAATATTTCTTGTAGTCTTATATATGGCTTAAAGACGGCTCCACTTACATTGTCATTTGTGGGTGGCTTCATTCGGTTGTCATGTAATTTAACATTAAAACCAGGAGATTTGTGTATAGGAGCCTGGGAGCTCTGGCACTATCTTGTTCCTTTTCTTTCAAGGTGTTTGCTTTCATTGTGGTTGCTTGCTTTTACATGTATTGCCTTAGAGTAAGTGATAGTTCATTCTGCAAAACAATGGCACTTAAAAGCATATACACATATAGAAGTGTGATTTTTTTTTACTATTTGTTATTAACATTGATCTAATTATTACAATGTTATTGGTATGAGTTTGAATTTGGTTCTTTTCAGGTTATAACATTCTGATCTCAGTTCCCCTCAAGCTGGTGATTTTACTACACACAGTTTTCATTCCTGTATTTGATTAGAAAAATCTTTATATCCTTGTGGTTGTTTATCAGGCATGGCCTAGAGAATCGTCTGTTCAGTTAATTTGTTACCACCTCCTGTATTTGCAGTTACACCTGTAATTAAAGAGGACATCTAACCAGCTTAAGGTCTAAATGCCTCTCAAAATACCCCAGCAAGGTATGTGCTAATCAGGAAGCTGAATCTCAAACTGCTTGACAAAAAAAAAAAAAGATGTATATCTATTTATATATTCATATTTACATTTATGTTTTTGGTTGGGAGGACAGTGGGAGGAGAAATCTTTTGTCCCTTACAGGATGCAAGCACAGACACCTGTAGGTTAAGATGACCCTCGGTAGAACCTCGTGCTCCTGCCTTGGCGAGCTGTGACACGCAGGTACTGCTTTTCAGAAGGGCAGTCTTGTTAGGAGGCAACAGCACAATGGCATCACAGTTCAGGAGACACAGATCAAAGTAAGTTTTTCTCCTATTCTGGGAAGGTCAGTGTTATCAAGCACACCGCCATATGAGATTAAAAACTGATGGCCAGGCTGGGGCGGTCACGGGGAGGGCCAGCCCGGAAAAATCATTACGAAAGGAGCACGAGGGGCACTTTTCCCTTCCTCACACTGTTTGCTGCGCCTGGGTGTGTTCTGTCCATCCTCATCGCATGGAAGCCACGGCAAAGCGGCCTTTCCTTCCCCAGAGACGGGCACGATGATCACGAAGCACGAGCAGCAGCCGCCCCTGTTGGCGCGGGAGGAGGAAGGAAACTCGCGTTGCAGTGAAGCAACCGCGGTCGCGGGTGACACAAACCCCGCTCCGAGTCGTGGCGCAGCGTGCGAACGGGCGGCCGTTGTACGCGGGGGGGGGCGGCCCGGGCCCCGCCGTGCCGCGGGGATCGCTCAGCTGCGGACAGACTCACCCGGCTAATCCCGACAGAGGAGCCTGTCCTCGGCTCCCGGCGATGGCACCTTGCCGGCTCCTTGCCCTTATCTTGAAGCCGAGCAGCACGTTTTCATACAAACATCCTTTTTCTTGGCAGTGGAAATGGTGAAGAGAGTTCTTTACCGCTAGGAAAATCCTACAAAAACTGTAAAGCCCACGGTGCCAGTTCACCTCGGCATGGGCTCTGCACAGTGTGCCATGCCCAGAGCAGAGCTCTGCCTGATGCTGAGGTTGTCTGTGCCATTCCCTGTTTCCTTCTCATGTTACCTCCACTAACTGGTATTTTAATCAATACATTATGGAGCCGAGGGCCCTTCTTACTGGGATCTGTAAAGAACACTCGCGCTGGTGCACTACATCTAGCGCAGCAGGCAGAGCCCCAGGGAGAAAGGGCTTTTTGGGAAAAAGGTAAGGAGGCTGGGCAGGGCTGGTACCCGGCTGCCCTGCACACAGTGCAGGGGCACTTGCACAGTGGTTGGGCTGAATGACCACCCTGTGAGTTGGCCAACAGAGAAAGAGTCATCTGGGCATCCCATCCCAGCTGAAACCTTGTCTCCAAAAAGTTAAGGAAAGGAAAAGGTGGTAGAAAAAAAACCCCAAACAGCAGAATTTACATTGTAGTTGGTTGTTACACTTTTCAAAGAGTGCTGAGAGTTTTGGGTGGGCAGAGTTACAACTCCCTTCTTTCTCACACTGACAGCTCTGAAAACAGATGCTGCTAACCTGAGTGTTTCAGTTATTTTTGAACCAGTAGCAGTGGCACAGTGAGGTACCCCCCAGAGTCCCTTCTAGAAAATTCAGTAAACAGGTTCAGGAAGTATTGGCACACACAGGAACATGTACAAAAACAAAGTACAAGAAACACAGTAATGGTTTTGCAATTCTTGAGTTTAATTACTTCAGCATGTTTTTTTGCTCTTCAGCCGTCCCCTTTCCATTGCAGTCTTTTTTGGGAAACTTGCATAAACACTTTTCCGAGACCAGTACATAAACCACACACAGATGAACAAGCTTTTATTTGCAGCTTTCTTAAGTCTTGGTTTCTTAACTTAAGAGAGAAAGTGTATTAGAAAACTATTATGCAACCAGATCAAACATCTGATGGTGAGATGCACTGAGATCAGAGGACTCCATGATGGAAGAACATGACAGTAATCTGTAACAGGAACCACACGTCAGTCTAACCTGTTCAGGAAGTCAGAGTTACAGAAGATCAGCCTCTCAAAGAACTGTGTTGTCTGCACTGTGCTGACAAAACAGCACAGAAAAAAATCTGGTTTTTACTGTTTCACTCTTGGCAAAATTGAGGCCTTTGGGAAGAAATAATATAAAAAAACTAAACCAGAGGCCAAGACAGATACACAGTTCACTCATTTCCCCCTCTCTTTAGCTCACAAAACCTGGAAACTATTCAGCCTTCTGTCTGAAGAAGTAAGCAAAAGAAAGACTAGGAAAGGCTAGAATAAGACGTACTTGACAAAAGGCAATTCAAAAGATACAAACATGAAGGGTCACGAGGTAAAGAACAGTTACAGAAGCATGGGAATAAAATGACACTGAAGGCATTACACATACACTCAGTAGCAAGATCCTCCTTTGCAACTCAAAGACTTGAAAATGAAGCACAAATCCAATTAAGTAAGGCCAGCATAGGTAACATGCACTATCTAGTAGGCTTCAGAATATCAAAGTACTTTGGATTCTTGAATATTACAGGAACCCAAAACTTTTTAGTTCAGAAACTTCAGAGAGAACAAAGCCTGTAGGTAGGCTGAATTCCTAAAACCGAAAAAATGTTCAAGTAATTGTGCTGGTAGGAAATGTCACATGATATTGTACAACTGGTTTTCTACCTGTCTCCAGGCCTCTTCCAGCCCCACTAGTCTTGTATTGCTACAGCAGATCTCAGGTTTGTGTGGGGCCAGTGGCAGACTGCTACAAACATGGTCTCAGTGAAGAAGAACTTACTGTTCCACTGACACCAGGTGCTGATGTCTAAATTACAGCTGCTCAAAGAAGTTAGGAAAACAGTGTAGAAAGGAATTCTGAGGAAAGGTTTTTTGATTAAGCAGACATTAGTTTTTGTAATTCACTGTCAAAAGACTCAAATGCATCTGGTTACTTTAGCTGTAAGATTCCATAAGCAGAAAACGCAGCAAGTCCAGTGGTCACATAGGGTCAGGTACACTACTACCTACTGCAAGCAGAAGAGAAATCTTAATGTAACATCCTGTGTCAATGCCAGTTACCCCACAACTCCCCCTCCCCACCCCCCCATTTTCAGGGCAGCTGCTGGACTCTGCTAGACGTGAATCAGTTCTACTCAAGACTTCTGAGGACAGATGACCTGTGAGCTAGGTGCAAGTTACCCTAGAACTGCCATGCAATGTGCATGAGAAATCAGCATTACACAGGGTGGCAAGCACTTCCTACCACAACACCTACAATCCGTGGCAATGGATGTGTGTTAGCGTGTTAAAAAGTAATATTCCGCAGTTAAAATTTAATTTTCCATAGGAAAAATGTTCCCTGTACCTAGGAGCAAATCCAGGAGTACGAAAGTGATCTAAGCAGATGCAAACAACTGTAGCCACAAACTATCAAAGAGAAATCTCAAATTAAAAACAAAGTTTAAAAAAATCTTAATTCTAAACAGTAGACAAGCCACCTACTGAAGCAGGCTCTCAGAAAGAGTAAAATCCATTTTAAAATATTACACACCACATTACTATCCAGCTAATTAAAAAAACCAAACAAAAACAACCACTCCAACAAAGAAAAAAAAACAGCCAAACTTTACAAATAGGATACAAACAGATTTCCTCTTGCAATAAGGATACTGGATAAAAAGTTACAGGATACACTGCTGTGTGTTTACAGGGAGGTTGCTCTTCCCCTCTGCCCAGTGCCTTCACTCCCACCAGCTTTTTGAGCTTGTTTTCAGTTTTTCCAGATGTGCTCATTGCTTGCAGAAATAGAACTTTCTTTTGTCTATACAGAACACGACACCCAAGAAGCAGGTGAGAAGAGAGGTCAAACTTCTCGCTGAACTATTTCTTTGCTGTCTATTTCCCATCTCTACACCAGTTACAGATGTTATGTGAGTTCAAGAAGTTTCTATCTCAGAGGCCTCTTCTATGAAGTTAGCAACAGGACTGAGGAGCAAGAGTGGAAACAGTTTATACTCGCCATTCCCATCCTCCGGGAGGAGAGGCGGATCACCCATTCCCAGAGCATCCAGAGACTCAGCCTGGCTTGCTGGAGCTGCTAGTGGCAAGGCAGCCCCGCTACCCGACGGAGGATGAAGAGGAGGTTTCTCCTCTGGGGCGGGCAGCAGGAAGTCTTTCAGATCCTCTGTCTTCCCTGCAGCTTCACTTGAAGGGAGTTCTTCAAACAGCGAAAGCAGAGGATTGGCCCTGTACTGTATCAGCTGCATATCTGAGGGAAAACAAACGGTTTAAACTCCAGGCTCCTGCGTCACGTAAGCGAGGGCGCTTATTCAAGACAAGGGAAACTGGAGAGGCTGCTTCAAACCCTGGCTCACTAAAGCAAACCATACAGCTGAGCTCTGAGAGGCTACAGCCACAGCTGCAGGGCTGGAGCTAAGGCTCCTGTGTCCCTTAGGATCGATTATCTGAGGTGCACTCCAAGCCCCCCATACGTGTGGCACACAGCGGCAGAACTGAGTTTGTGGGGGTCACAGTCCCCGTAGGAGATACTGCCACAAGGACATTTGCAGTTCTGCTCCCTATTGTGGCACTCTGTCATGTACAAGAAAAAGGAAATGGTTAACACCAACATGGGGAATAGGATGGGGCCTCTCAAGGTTGAGGCACAGCTTCATCAAGATCAGTCGAACATCCCAGTCTTCACAAAAATTTTAAACCGGGACCAAAAGAGGAGATAAACCCTATTACAGGCTACAAAAATTCCATTTCAATATACAGTTTTGGAAGAGTCTGGAGCTGTCACAGCTCTCAGCGTTCCTTTCTGCCCACCTTTGCTTCCCGTCGTTTCCCTCTCACTTGCTCCCGGATCTTCAGTGCTCTCTGCCAAGTTTGGAATCTGAAGCAAAACAGACAGGGAGTAAGACACAACACTTAAACAAGAACAAAATCCAAGTCTTCACTGACTGGTTAACAAAATTAAAGATGAAAGAAGGAGGGAAGAGACATGAAACAGTTGACCAACGAGCCCATCGTTGCACACCAGGGCCAGCAAACGGGAGCTCTCAGAAGAAGACACAGTGAACTACAAACTGAACTTAAAGCCAAACAAGCTTCTGAGTAGCAAATATTTATTTTACTTTCCAAACCAGAAGCTTTATTATAGTCTCTCTTGTTGGAATAACACTGCTAAACCTGATTTCATCAATATAATTAAATTTTGCAAGCACTGCTTGAACACAGCTGCATTTTACCTCAGATGCAATCTAAGCTCTTATGGCTGGGAAGTCTTAGTTCAAATATTCTTTCAGGACTGCAAAATAAACAACACTTGCACAGGTTTTTAACACGAGTCAGTTTAAGGAACTGGACCAAGACAAGTAAATTTGCACTGAACTTTTGTAATGTCCTCCATACAGCCACGTTCAGAATAAATACAGCATATTGCACTGTTTTTTTCATTTAGTACTTTTCCTTCAGTCCTCGGACAGACTGAAGAGACACAATCTCATCTGAACTATAACCCCAGACCTAGTTATTACTTGGCTAAAAGACATCATGGGAATCCCTGAGGCTAGGAGAAACAAGCCAAGAAGCTGTTCTCACATACTTAGCCCCAAAACAGACAAGATCTGCTAGCCTCCTTGTTCTAAACAGAAGATACGGAAGTACCAGATAGGGATAAAAAAATTCCTCAATACAAACAGCTGATTCAACAGACACCAGTGTGCTTCCCTATTCCTTATGTTCTCAGGTGTATCCAGAGAGCAAAGAACATGTTATTCGAAGCAAAGTGGCAGTTTAAATCAGCCCACTGAGTGTATTACTGCAGCTAGGAACAAAAACACTTGGAATTATCTTGAGAACCCTCTTAAATTCATATATGCCAGTAGCGATAACTGAAAACACGGGGTCAGCAGGACTCAGTAAAATGGCAGTTTCATCCTGTGCTACCAATCCAGTCCCTACCCTCATACTGCATCAGCCAAAATTTAGCTCTGAAGATCGTATTAACCCTCCTCATCATAAAAGCAAATCTTACTCTTACATTTTCCATACCAGGGGAAGTTTCCGTCAAGTTCATATCCAGGGCCGGCAGCTCAGGATTAAACGTCTGAAAATAAACCCAGACCATACGTCATATAATAAGGTGCTTAAAACAAAATTTCAGAGAGCTCCTGAAAGGACAGCAGGATCCAGCACACCACTCCACCCACTGAAGCACAGGGAAGGTGGCTCCTCCACCAGCCTATGTTAAGAAATACTAGTTGTTTGGCTTAAATCAGTGAGTTTTAAATAGAATGAGTGGCTCAGAGTCAATCATTTAGCACTAGGATGCAGGGGTTACAGTATCTACCGTGTGTTTAGCACTACTAACTTAGAACTGCTGCAGCCTTCGGCTGCAAGCTGTGAACTTTGATATGCTTTTAGCTGGGATAGAGTTAGTTTTCTTCTTCACAGCTGGTACAGTGCTGTGTTCTGGATTTAGTGTGGGAATAATGTTGATAACACACTGATGTTTTGGCTGTTGCTAAGTCATGTTTATCCTAAGCTTAGGACTTTTTCAGTGTTTCCCATATTCTGCTGGCACTAGGTACACAGGAAGCACATACCAGAAGATAGGGAGGCTACAACCGTCAGCAGAAGCTGCAAGATAAGAGCAGCTGACGGCCTGCCTGCTTGCGAAGTGACTCTGGTCCTCGCCATTAGTCTCAGGGGGTGCCAGTGCAACTCCCTGAATGGTATGTGAATGCTCAGGCAACAGCCTCTCCTTTTAACAGCCTACAGCAACATATTTTCAACCTCTGGCAGTAAGCTGAGGTCACAGGAGAAAAGGACACCACATTTCCCAGTGATTTCAGGTATATAGCTGAGTTTCATTCCATATCATAGTGCATAAGCAAACAGATAATCAGGATGTGATGATACGTGACAAAGGCTTGAGAAGAAGTGAGTCCAGTCTTTTTCCTTTTTCCCCTTGAGTTATACATAATAGAAACACTATATGAACTGAAAAAGGCTCTCAGTGTTACCTTGTACATGGTTAGACTCCTAGAATGACTATTCTATCCATAACTATTTGCTTTTCCCCCTCCTCTTGCCCATTGCAGCATGGAATGATGCAACCTCATCAGTACTTTCCAGAAATCAGAAACAGTCAAGACACTCACATCGCTGAAAGCTTCAGAACCAAAATTATACTGCTTCCCAGATAACATGGCTTGAAGCTCTTCAAGGCTGGCATCAATGCAATTAAGAAAATCTTGAATTTCTTCTCTAAAAAGACAAAATTATATATTACTGCAAGAAACAGTCAGCAGTTAGGACCTCCTTTTGCATCACAAGGCAGGCTGGTCACAATCCAGAACAGCTTATTGCTAAATGAATGAAATCACATTCCTGTATCACTTTCCACGGTCCACCTCTTTGAAGGACAGGTACAAGCAAGACTATGTGAACAGCAAGTACAGCAACAGCTATCATATCAAGAAACAGTTCCTCCTTCCACACCCACTTCCTCTCTCAGTACAATATCTTTCGACTGTTCTCAGATCCCAGCCTATATACCAATAACTGGTTAAACTCACGCCCGATGGCTTTCACTTGGGGACAATAAACGATAAGTAAAGGCTGGAAATAATCCGGACCTGAAGGAACACTGTCTGTTTTGAGACATCAGATTATTTCAAATTGTACCGTTTCCAAGGACAGTGGGCAGGACAGAAGGGACAGTGAACGAAGCGGAAAGGAAGCTGCACACACGGCGCCAGTACTGAACTTCTCGCGGCGCTGAGGCCACCTCCTGTCCCGGAACACTCAGCCAGGAGCAACAGACAGTTCCAAGGCACTGCCCCACGGGCAGCAGTGCCCAGGAGGCCAGACATCACAGGGCCTTCAGCTGTGACACCTCCCCAGAACTTCCCACCTGAAGTTCACCACAGCAGAAGAGCTGTCAGGAGAAAGACCTAAAGCTTGCTCCTTGCTCCAGCACACCCTGCAGCCACAGAAACCATGCTACTGGTAATGCTCAGGGTCAGTGCAGAGCTGGGAACCGCTTCTGCAGTGGTGCTGCTGAGTGGGAAACCACAACCCACAGCATTTTGACCCAGAAGTGAGTCTGACTGACAGCACACAAGGGAAACGAACCTTTGCACAAATGAGGGGCAAAGAAAGGAAGAAACAGCAAAATGACATCAGACTACCACGGATACAAATCCACATCCAGTTCTTGGAAACAAAGCAGCACATGGTGCCCTCCTGAAGTTGCTAACCTTCATCTGCCGTTTGCCAGCACTCGGCAGTGCCAGTCGTTGGTGGCACAGGGGCTGACGTAACACAGACTGACCTCACCAGCCCTCAGACTGACCCATCAGCAGGCTGGCACGCTCCTCACCAGAGACGTGACAGAGGAGCTTGCCCTGCTTTTAGTGCCTGATGCTAATAACCCTTGGCTTTTTCAAGACCTACTAACGAAGGGGCAGAAAACTCAGTTCATCAACGACATTTAAAAAGCTAACTCACTATGTTCTGTTTAACACATCCTCTAAAACTTTGACAAGATCCCACAAGATGACGACAGCATAACAGTTTCCAGAAGCAAGCTAATACCTGTCCAGTAAAGGATCATTTTGGTTTCCAGAGCTGTTCTCGTTCAAGATGGAGTCAATCACTGACACTGGGTCTTCTGGAGCGTTAGGCTGTGCAGTATGGAGCTCCACAGCAACATTTCCCATTTCACTGGATTTGTGGACATCATTTATATGAACTGGTGGGATAGGTTCTGCATAATTTAACTCATTTGGCTGCGATACTTGACAAATAGGTAAGCCAGGATCCAGAGCTGTCTGTGTCTCTCTAAAATGTGACCCAAAGAGAAACAAAGAACCCAAAGAACACACAGGAGAATTCATCACTACTCACTGCAAGTTTAGTATCTCAAATCTTAACACTTAATAAAGTTAAGCCAGTCAAGGGTTCAAAAAAACTAGTTGGTCTTTAGGGAAAAAAGGAAAGTGCCTTTACCTAAAGACTGATGAAAAATCTCTTATTACAGCTTATACAGAGAGCATGTATCAGAGCAAAACACCCCATTTTGCCAGACCAAAGCCCTAGGACAGCACATGGACTTAGGCAGGAAGGAAACTCACAACATAGTGTCTCAGGAAATAAAAGATTCCAAATGGGTCTGTGTTTCACTCTGGATGTTACCAACTAAATGGTTTTCACAAGAACCTGAGGCCACAGAAAATACTGTGTTCCCTTCCGTTACACTTACTGTAACATTAGGGAAAGCAACCTACATACATTTTGGGTTGTTTATTAGTAAACTATATATGCATTCAGGTCTTTGTTCAGTCAAAAAGTTAAGTACGTGCCTATTTGTTGAATACAGAAAAGCCTCAGAAAATTAAACTTCAA